AGTTGAGGTGATGATAAATAATAAAATTTATAGTTTTCAAATAGATACTGGAGCTCAAACAAATATTATTTCAGAAAAAATTGTACAAATTTTGAATCTAAATAGTAAAGTTAAAAAATCATGTATTAAATTACTAACTTTTAGTGGTGAAAAACTGCAGCATTTTGGTATTATAAAGATTGATTTTGTATTTCAAGATAACCAGTATTCGGAAAATTGTCATATTCTTAAAATGCCTTGCAAAAATATAATTGGTTTAAATACAGCCATCAATATGAATCTTATTCAAAAAGTCAATGTAATACAAAGCACAAATACAATTTTTGAAAAGTATGCATAAATTTTTACTGGTTTAGGCCTCTTGAAACAAAACTGTAAATTGAAATTAAATACAAGTATACCTCCTGTGATTGATCCACCAAGAAAAATACCATTTCGATTGCAAATTGATTTAAAACATGAATTGAAAAGAATGGTCGATTTATAAGTTATAGTACCTGTGTCTGAACCAACTGAATGGGTGAGCTCAATAGTTCTCGTTAAAAAACCAAATGGTAAATTAAGAGTATGCTTAGATCCTCGTCATTTGAATGAAGCTATTCTAAGACCACATTTTCCTTTTCCTAATGTAGAAGACTGTAAAGCTAGACTAAGCGGCGCTAAATTCTTTAGTACGTTAGATGCAAATTCAGGTTTTTGGATGGTCCTATTGGAGGAAGAGTCATCGAAATTATGCACATTCAATACATCTTTTGGAAGATATCGCTTTTTAAGGGTGCCATTCGGCATAAATGCGGCACCAGAAATATTCCATAGTGAAATGGTGAAACTATTTGAAGATATTGAAGGCCTTATTATCTATATAGACGATTTCTTAATATATGCAGACACTGTTGAAAAGCATAATACCATCTTATTAGCGGTACTTGACAGAGCAAAAGCTGTTGGGCTAAAATTCAATAAAGAGAAGTCCAAAATAGGAGTAACACAAATAAAGTTTGTAGGTCATATTTTTGATAAACATGGTGTAAGTCCGGATAATGAAAAAATAAAAGCCATAAAAGCCATTCCTGCACCAAAGTCAATAGAAGAATTACAAAGATTTATGGGTATGATAAACTATTTAGGGTCATTCATAGAAAATTTAGCAGCTAAAAATAAAAACTTACGTGATTTACTAAGAAAAGACGTAGTTTGGCACTGGGGTGATATGCACGAAAAAGAATTTAATAATTTGAAACAAGCTATAACTAATGCACCAGTTCTTACCTACTTTGATACAGGAAAGCAATTAGTTTTATCTGTAGATGCCTCCAATTTTGCGGTAGGTGCGTGTATAATGCATGACAAACATCCGATAGCCTATGCTTCAGCATCACTGACGGATTGTGAAGTCAATTATGCACAAATTGAAAAGGAGCTTTATGCAATTTTGTATGGCTGTACTAAGTTCCACCAGTATGTGTACGGTATGAAAGTCACTGTAGAAACTGACCATAAACCTTTGGTGAACCTTTTTAAAAAACCGCTTTATAAGATTCCGGCAAGGTTGCAGCGATTCATGCTTCAACTTCAGTATTACGATCTATCAGTCCAGTACAAACCAGGAAAATTTCTGTATATAGTAGATACACTTTCACGAGCACCCCTTACAAATAAAGCCGGCATAAACATGGAAGAAGATCTTTCGTTACATTGCAATTTATTGCTGACACAACTTCCATTTTCAGATTCAAAAGTTAATGAGATTAAAGAAAAACCAAAAGCAGACACGGTTTTTGGAAAGATAAAGAATTACATTAAAAGTGGTTGGCCACAAAACAAAAAGCTAATAGATTCAGAAGTTGCACCATATTTCAAAATTAGAGACGATATTCATATCATTAATGACATAATCTTAAAAAATAATCAAATTCTGGTACCAACTGCCTTATGAAAATCAGTTCTTAAAAATTTACATGAAGGCCATCTAGGCATTAAAAGAAGCCAAGGTCTGGCTAGACAGTCAGTATATTGGCCAAATATAAACAACGACATTTTTAATGTAGTTTCGAACTGCGAGATTTGCATTAAATACAGAAATGCCAATCCACAGCAAGAACTTTTTTCTCATGAGATTATAAATATACCCTGGTACAAATTAGGATGCGATTTGTTTGAATTCAATAGACAAACGTATCTATTAATTGTAGACTACTTTTCTAAATACGTAGAGATTGAAATATTATCAAGCGGTTATTCAAGTAGTCTAGTCATAACCAAAATGAAATCTGTTTTTGCTAGATATGCTAGTGTGCCTCGAATGTTAATATCTGACAATGGACCACCCTTTAATTCACAAGAATTTAAAACGTTTTGTCAGGATTGGCAAATAGAACACTCGACATCCAGTCCATATTTGCCCAAGTCGAACGGAATGGCTGAGCGGTCAATTCAAACGATTAAAAAGATGCTGGCAAAGTGTTTAGAAAGTAAATCTGATCCCTATATTGGATTGCTCCATTACAGAACAACACCAAAATCAGGACTACCTAGCCCTGCAGAGTTGTTGATGTCGCGACAGTTGAGAACAAAACTACCTTCAATAGAAAAAAATTTTAAGCCAAAAGTTGTAAATATGCAAAAATATCAAAAACAAATAAATGATCAAAAATTGAAGTCTGCTGAATATTATAATAAAAGGTAAAAGTACTTAGAGCCGCTTTGCCAAGGCGAAAGTGTCATGTTCAGAAAAACACCAACGTCCTATTGGACTCCAGGTACTATAGCAGAAACTTGTAAAGAACCAAGATCCTACATTGTAATAGATAAAGACGGATCAAGTTACAGGAGGAACAGGGAGCCCATTTTGAAATTAAATGATAAGCAATTGTTAAATGAAGTAGATACAAATGAAAAAGACAAAGAAGTACAGGAATCGATTGAAAGTGAACTACAAAATAAAGATAAATATTCACAAATAAAGTCTAATGCTCCAAATACTGTTAGTAAGGAAACCCCTAAAGTTGTTAAAGATAAAAGAGATGGATTATATGTTACTAAAGCAGGACGAAATGTAAAGCCTCCAAAAAGATTGAATTTTGAATAATTTAAAAAAAAAAAAAAAAAACATATGTACAAACTATATGTATCTAAAAAACCTTATCTTTTATATAAAAAAAGGAAGATGTTGTATATACACATCACCCTGTATTATCTATTTACTAGACTCTCCCTTTTGGTAAAATGTATTCCATTATGCATGTATTATATTTAGCTTTAGTTGGTACTTGAAAGAGCTAATAAAGAGCAGTCGTACTGGAGCCATCACAGCATACGTTTACACCATGAACCATACTTTAATAGGTATAAAAGGAAATTACTGACATCGTCAACAAAAAAAAAATTGCCAAAAATCAACGGAAAGCCCTAAGCCAATTGGTTAAACATGGTTATCGAACTTAACCTCTGCATTAACGAAGGTGTAAAGAATAACATACAAGTGGTTTTATGACGGTGTTCAGCGGCCTTTTCCTACACTTTAATTCATTTCTTTTAATTAATCAAAACGACGAATTTGCAGTATAAATTTACCTGTACTAAAGTAGACATAAATTGTGTTATGACCTCTGAATCTATTTATAGGGAAATAAGTGTAATTTTTAGTTTATAAAATCAATTTGCAACTATGCAAATATTTTTGAGTGCGATTAGCAAACTTTTAAGTTAAATTTCACTTTTTAAAATAGATTTCTCAAATATGCGGCGTTGACTTACCTTTTCGTTTTATTTCCATGTGTTTATTACTTTAATAAATGCAATTTCTATTTAAATGTGTGGTTAGGAATGTATTCCAAGTACCATAAAGTATTTTAAAAACAAATGAAATTTTGACTTTCGTCCAGCTAGATCTGGATCGAAATTTTTTAAGCGATTAAATTCGGAAAAAATACGTTTTCGAAGCTATCTCACAACTGCTTATATCAAGATCTGAAAAGCCCACACGAATATTGCCACTGATATAACTTATGTCTAGCGACCAAAATGACAGCTGGACAGCAAACAAGTTTATCTTGTGGAGACGGCCAGAAACTACATTGCACTAATTTTTTACACCATTTTCTGAATTACTCATATTATTCAATTTTCAAAGTCTTTTTAAAAATCCTGGCGTCAGAGAGAAAACAAAAAACGCAATTTTACTGCATATATTTGGCATGGCTTTGCGAATATATTAGTGGTATTCACCAAATTGAGCAAGTGGCCTGGCAGTCTGGCAAAAGGGCAGATGAGCTCAAGCAACGAATGTTGTTGCTCAATTTGGTGAATACCACTATTGATTTTTTCGTGTGTGAAATTGCCTGTCGCACGGTGTTATGTGTATGTATAATTAGCTAGACATTTATAAAAGTAAGTATTAATTAAACAAAAGAAATATAGCAAAAACAGGTCAACATAAGGCGTTTCTATTATTGCCACCATTGCAAATTACAACTCCCGAAAATTCCGGGATGCTAGGCAAATAATCCCGGGATTTTCGGCACTTATAAAAGGCCGGGATCCCGGGATTAACATCTCTAGTCTCCATAGAGGCATCTGGCCTTTGACCCCTTTGCGACATGCCTTAACCGACTCCAATCGGGACCAAAATTTTTATGTGATATCTTCGACTATGGTAGTAACTATTTTGGGTATTAAATGAATAAAATAATAATTTAATTTTTTGAGTCTCTATAGAGGAATCTGTATTTTGCCCCCTGTGCGACACGCCTTAATCGTGTGCAGTCGGGACCAAATTTATATGTGATATCTGTGACCGTGTTATTACCGATTGAGGGGCTAAGACTGAAAAAAACAATGACAATAAGAATTCAACAATCTTAGAACAAAGACATAATTTTTGGCAATCAGCGCAATTTTCATTGAAATCAGCTGCTTATCAGCCACCTTATCTGAATTCCAAACATTACAGTTACTTACTTAATAACAAAATAATATTGTAATTATTAAATTTTCAACAGCCTCGAGCCACGGATCACACAGTCAGTGCGCGAACTGGGAGATCTGCTGCTCTCTATAAAAGGTGGCGGCAACATTAATTCCAATCAAGCGGCACAGCGAAATGCGGTGGCTGTTGAAGCCGATGAAGTACTTAGGCCACTAATGGATTTATTGGATGGCTCTCTAACGCTCTATGCTCAGTCCTGTGAAAAAACAGTACTGAAACGGTTGCTCAAAGAGCTTTGGAAAATTGTAATGCGTATTCTAGAAAAGACTATAGTGTTGCCTCCAATGACTGATAAGACTGTACGTGATTATATATTGTAGAGATTTCTATTTTTCCTTAATTACTTTCTTTTTAACAGATGATGTTTAAGCATCTAACAGATAATGCTAAGAATCTTGCGTCGAATGCCAAAATCGAAGACATGGGTAGACTATTCAAAAGCCATATGGCTGGTAAGCAAGATGTGAAGAGTGCCCTTAGCGGTGTGATGGATATCTCCAAGGAGGTGGAGAAGAATTTATCACCCAAACAATGTGCTGTATTAGATGTTGCCTTAGATACCATAAAGCAATATTTTCATGCTGGCGGCAATGGACTCAAAAAGACATTCCTTGAAAAATCACCAGAGCTGCAAAGCCTGCGATATGCTTTAAGTTTGTACACGCAAATGACGGATACGCTTATTAAGACTTTTATTTCCAGTCAAGTACATGAAAGTAAGTATTTACGTTTTTGCAAGCTTTTATTTAACTTGCTTTGTATTTAAGAAAAACATATTTATGTAAGTATATTTGTTTGAGTCCCAACTTCCCAATGAGCTAGAGACTCGTAATTTCAAAACTGGCTCAGGAGTAGAAATATGGTGCGATTTAGTTCATATTTAAAATTTATGTATATTACCTACATACATAAAAGGAAATAGCTTAGCAAAAAGCTTTCCGAGACTCTGCATCTATGGTCGAATTAATCTATATTTAGAATATATATCAGTGTTGCCACTTTACCACAATTGTGGTAGATCTGTAGGGTTTCCAGATTTTTTTACGCGAAATCAGTAATTACAATTTTTCATGCTATATATGTACATCAGTACTTTTCAGTACACATTCATTCAAAGCAAAATTATAAATGTAAGTAACAGAAAATACTATAAAACGCCAGAGTACATGCTTTTGAAAATATTTTGGTATATAAATTATATTTATATAAAATAAATAATATTTTTGGTCATTCATTTTAAAATGAGTTTACACCGGTGATTCCCAAAGTGGTCCAAGTAGATCCCCACGAGTTCACGGACAACTCGACGGCGGTCTACGTTGGCGGGAAAAAATATGGGGATTCACAAGTTGTAAGGAAAATTTATCTGGCTTCCATAGTAAAGAATAAAAATGTTGGCATGACCTTACCTACCAATGCACAGTGGTTAAAAATTGGCATTTTGTGTTCACAATTCACTGGAGCCTTCATTTTATAGTCAATTTAATTAATTTTTGAAGTGAAACTTCTTAGGCGGCGGTATCGCAAAAATGAAAGTAAAATTTTTAAAACTCAAAATACGTTTGTTCCACACGCTTTCCGGGGTGTTTCGGTAATTAGAGCGTAAGGAACGCAAAAAAACACTTTTCGTGCCCAGAATCAACAAATCAGTTCTAAACAATGATTTTATGTACATATATTTATCTTATATAGCTAATAAAATTAGCAAATACCTACATTTCTGAACCTTTAGTGCTATTTTGCATTTTTGTATTTTACAAAATTTGCTATCGGATGTAAACAAACAACAGCTGTTATTTCAAATTGACTTCTTGCACATTTCGGCCTGTTTCGGGCACGAAGAAGAGGGCATTTACGATCCCAAAGTGTAAGGTATTCGCTCCCTATTACCCATTTTTCTAGCTTTCTGGGCTGTTTTGGGCACCCGCGGGTATCCGCGGGCTCGTGTGGAACAAACTTAAAGTTACATGAGTAAGAAGGAAGATATAGCATAGAGAAAAGGAAAAAAGAAAGAAACGACGTATGCACAGCGATACAAAGCTATATTTAGCACAAACATCCAGCGTTGTCACTAACAATTTTTTTCCTACAAATTTTCTTCCCAAATCCAACCAAAATCGGTTAAAACCTACCAAATAAATTTCCATTACAAAGAAGCATTCTGAAAGCATACAATTAATTTATTTAGATTAAATGTTTCGAATACAAAACATTTACATATGCACATACATTTATGTACTTTGTACATTTTAAAACAAACAAGAAATAAATAAATGCAGGTACAGTCTTATTCACGGAGATGAGATCATTTAACATTTTTTGTACCAATAATTTTAATTTCTTAAAAGAAAATTTAAATCAATTAATTATACATGCAAATTTTTAGCAGCTGACCCACATAGTGCGGGTAATTTTTTTTACAAGTGCCTTGCGTAATTTATGCTATTGGTACTGATATTTTCATTCATTCCATTTTTAATAGAATAAACTTGTTTGTTTTTTGGAGTAGCAAAAGAGAGCGCAGGGTGCGCCAGAGATTCTATTCTCCGTGGAAATAAAAAGACGAGGAATTGAATTATGCATATGAATTCATTAATGTTTTTATTGCCTTCAATCAAATTTTAAACGATATTTAGTAGCGATATAGTTAAAACAGTGACAAAGTTCTCCCGAGTGGCGTTCTATGACAAAATGCAAAAAACGGTGCGATGGGGCTGCGACGGCGTTCAAAACGTTAATAATTCTAGCAATTTAATTGCAGGCACGAGTCACCCCGTGAACCCGCTTACAATTCCAACATGAAACCTATTTCACCTGACTCATTCACAATGGTGCACAGTAAGTGACGTTGCCAGCCGCACGCAGATTATGGAAAATGCATTAATTGAATAATTGGAAAAAGTACTCAATCGAACTCGATTAAATTGGGCCTCATGTCCGCAACATGCCGGCCCGCCTACGCCGGTGACAGGTTGAGCAACTCTTGCAACTTCTCGAGGGTCAGCACCGCCCGGTTGAATAAATCGCGGATGCGCCGTTGGACCGTAGTATTGCCGCTTTGAGCTTGCTTCGCGGCTGGTTTGACCACACGGCTGGCCAGCGTCGATCGTCCACGGCGAACTTTTGCATGCGAGTCAGTACGGCGAGTGCTTTCCGGTGGCGATGACGTGGGACGATGCAGCATTGTGTGATGCACCTTCCCACACCGGTGACAACTGTCGGCTGAGCTGCAGGAGCCGGTTGAGTGCGACGTCGCCAAGCAATTGACGCAGTACTTATGTATGCGCGCGGACTCGTACCGCTCATCAGGCGTCATTGCTTGAAATGCGCGGCAAAACCGCAACGGACGATGGCGGCAGCAGAGGCGGCACTGGCTGAGCTTCATCTGGTTCTTGGACATCTGTGGAAGACGGAATTAGTTCCATGCTATGGTGGAGTCAGCTGGAGGGAGGTGTAGGTGTGGATTAGTAGTGTTTAGTGAGGCATGAAGTATATAAAGAGAGCTACTATAAAGGGGGCAGTAAGCACAACTTCGCAATATTTCGAGTGATTGTTCTGGCTTGAGTGTAAAGATGAGCTACGCGAACATTTTGATCATGACCGGGGTGAAGTTTCACCACGCGCCCGAGTCTCCACTCGTTTGGGGGTAGAAAGTCGTCTTTGACGACAACGAGGTCTCCCTCCTTAAGGTTGGGTTCTTGTCGCTTCCACTTGTGCATTTTATGGAGTTCCTTGAGATATTCATTTTTCCAGCGCGTGCTAAATTGCTGATGAATAACCTTCAATTTGTGCCATTTGTTTACTAAAGAGAGATTGTCAGAGTGGGGTTCAGGCCTAGAGAGGAGCGGGGCACCACGCTGGCGTTAAATCCAGCAGATCCGTAGGATCCTGAGACATAGGGGAAAGCGGCCTGGAATTTAACACCGCTTCAATTCGAATAAGGAGAGTGGTAAATTCTTCAAAGGTAAACTTGTGATATCTGGCTACCTTTGTGAAATGGGTTTTGAAGCTTTTTACAGCAGCTTCCCAGAGACCGCCCATATGAGGCGCATACGGTGGGATAAACTGCCATGCAAATCCGCGGGTTGCGTATTTTTCGGCGATATCAGTAGCCGCTTCTTTAAGAAACTGGGAGAATTCTCTTTGCAGCGTTCGCTGCGCACCTACGAAAGTTTTCCGTTGCCGGATATGATTTTGTGAGGGATTCCACGGCGGTCGACAAATCGAGTAAAAGCTGCCTTGAACGCTTCCGTGGTCAGATTTGAACATAACTCTAGGTGTACTGCTTTGGTGGAAAGGCACACAAATACACACACATACGCCTTTGCGTGGGGAGCTCGTCGTAGGGTAGATGTTTTCACAAGAAATGGTCCAGCAAAGTCAACACCTGTGGTATGAAAGGGGAGTGTATAGGTAGATCGTTCAGGGGGGAGCGCGGCCATTATCTGTGAACGCATCTTTTCTTTATAGATTATGCAGACCTTGCACTGAAAAATACATTTTTTATCTTTTGCTTCAACCTGGGGATATAATATTCTTGCTGCACCATTCGCATCATTAGTTGTCGATCAGCAGAAAACAGAGCTTTGAACTTTCTGGAATGATGATCGGGTGACGTTCATTAGCATACGCTAAACGTCCATTCACGCGCAGAATTCCCGTCAGTAAAGGGATTTTTTTTGCTAATAGACTTCCCTGCATTTAATGGGCTGATTTCGTTGATGTAGTACTGGCTTTGAGTCTGAACGATAATACGCAATTTAGCTTGATTTATTTCCTCGTGCGTTAAGGGGAGAGAATTGGGTATCGGTTGCTTTCTAGCTGCGTTTATAAACCGATACATAAACGCTATTACTCGCAACGCTGGGCAAAGGAGGAAAAACGCTCAAGTATATCCACTGATTTAATCGTGTGCAGGGATTCAATGCGTCGTTGTTCGGGGGGTGACGAATGTGGAGATGCGTTTTTCGGCCACAAAGTGGGGAGTTTTTGCAGCCATTCTGGGCTATTCCACCATAATGCGCATGGCACAAGATCTTGGGGATGGCATCGGCGGGTGCCTAGATCGGCAGGATTCTCTGCACCAGGTACATGCCGCCAAGTGGCATTGCTCACATTTTGGAGTATGAGCGAAATTCTGTTGGCGACATACGTTTTCCAAGTTTGTGGCGGTTTTTCTAACCACGCCAACACGATGGAAGAATCTGACCAGAGGTATAAGTCATGAGCAGGTAAATCTAGTTGGGAAGGGAGTTGGTTAACCAGCTTGGAGAGGAGGACGGCTCCACAGAGCTCAAGTCTGGGGAGGCTTACTGTCTGCAGGGGGGCTACCTTACTTTTAGCTGCGAGAATGTGTGTTGAGAACGAGTTTTCGTCAATTTCTACTCGGAGGTAGACACAGGCGCAATAAGCTTTTTCAGAGGCATCTGAAAGCCCATGTACTTGTACACGGTGAGTAGGGGAGAATTGCACCTAGCGGGGAATAACAATTTCATTAATAGGGGAGATTTTCGCGCAGAGTGTTCCATTTTTGGAAAGCGCCGGGTTGTACGTGCTCATCCCATTCGGTTTCTTCCAACCATAATTACTGAAGGAGCATTTCTGCGGAAATCATTATTGGCGTTAGTCATCCTGCCGGGTCAAACAGTTTCGCTACCGCCGAAAATATTTGCCGTTTTGTCCTTGAGTTGCCAGCGGGTACAGGATATTGCTGGCG